CTTAAACCTCGGATTTTCTGTTTGCTGAGAAGAGAATTACCACCTTTCGTTGGAGGCATACTTGTGGCGTGTGTGTGATCGACTTCGCCTACAAAACAAGCCTGCCCCTGAAGTTTCTCAAGGAACAATACCCTAGTTCATTACGCTACCCAGGTGGGCAGCCATTTTGTTGTCAACAATAGGCCAGACCAGGTAATTAACAAGAGATCATCTTACACCGAATATAACTGGTCATTTTGAAACGAAATGGACAATGTACTTTCAAGCATTAAATGAAGTGACCGATGGTCAGTGAATGGGTGGTCAATGGGTAATGAATATGCTTACTGGCATAATTTGAGATGTAAATCCCATCTTAACCTACATACATGAATATAAAACTAGGGTATCGCACTTACCATCTTAATCCTAAATCTTTGATGATTTGTTTTTAAATTGATAGAGAGTAATAGTAAGAACCTAAGTTTTTCTTTGCTTTTTTAAGACACTTGTTTCTTATTCATTAGGTAAGATGAAATGTATTAAGAAGAAATTTGGGTCTCTGGTCCTTCTGTGGGCAAAGATGTAAATAAGACGATCTACACCGGGCAGATGTATTATACTAAAGACCCGAATTCTTAAAAATGAACCAAAACAATTCTATATTAACGCACAACATTAATTAGTGACATTATACTCGCATATTTTTCTGTAACTAAAGCTTAAATTAAACCAAAACGATTTGTATATTAACGCACAACATTAATAAGTGCCATTGTTACGTGTTTTAATTTTTGGTTGGAGTCAACTTATTTCGCTTCTTTGCATTTGTTTCCTTCTTGTGGTCGTCTGCCTATTAGTCGACAAACCAGACGCCAGTTACATGTTTCAAAAATGTAATTTAGGATGTCCATTGAGAATTCTAAATGGTCATGGCACTGATGATATTCTGTGTTGTGTGGTGACCAAAATGCCAACCAGGGGGTGTTGAAAATGTAATCAATCATTCATTCAACGCTGTAATTGGTGAACATTCATGACGGCTATTCCGTGATTGTTGTCGCCTAATGCATTGTTATTAGCAACTTGTTAAGTCAAGGGAGACGACTCCATTTAACGCACGACCAGTAGTTGATAGAAATCTTGTTCAACCGTCTGGTGTGCTGAAAAGAAGAAAATAGAGAAAGGAAATGTAGTTTAATGCCTACTCAAACAAAAAAACCCCTCTGTTATGTCTCCATTTTATAAAATCGGTTGCACTGGTCACATTCTTAGTTAAAGTAACAAGCCTAGCTGCAATGTTCTGTATTATTTGCAATTTATCTATAAGCTTTAAAGGTAAACCAACTAAAAGTGAATTAAAGTTATCTAATCTAGGAGTGACCAGATAATTAACAAGTGACTTTGCGGCCTCTACAGTTAAACGTTTACGTATTTTACATATATAGATTACAAATATTATTTTCTTGAGCTCCCATAAGCATAAAACTATCACAAATTGCGCCAATACTGTTTTCTATCCACAAGATAGCTTTCTAAAAGATTTAATGAAGAGCCACAAAATGAAATGAAATGGGGTTTAACGTCCTACTGTTCTGCTCCTATACTGGGCTAATGAAGACGGGCATACGCCATATAGTGTGCTATGAGAGAAATTTTGCCCGGGCAGCGGCACTATCGCCTACTCTTATATCGAATTCCAACTGCCAGGGGATCTTTTACGTGCATTCCAATATATACACGGGACCTCGGTTGAAGAGCCACAAATACCGAATTTAAAATTGCAGTCTGCGTAAAAGAATAGAAGGATCCACTGTTTGGAAAGCGGCAGATAGATCTAATAGAATTAAAAATGTACATTTTCCAGTAAAATATTATTTGAAACCCGGGTAAAGCTGTTTCGGTACTGTGAAATTTTATATAAGCACTTTGAAATAATTAATACAAACAGTTATCATCTAGATGAGACTTTATCTGAGAAGCAATACATTTCTCCAATAATTTAGAAATAAAACTTAAGTTAGAGACAGGTCTGTAATTCTTAAAAACATTAGGTTCCAGTGTAGACTTCTTAATTAAAGGGGTAATTAATATAAGCTTGTTTGAAAATACTGGGAATAGTATACAATAATTAATAATATTGGTAAAAACTTGAATAACAGGAGTCGGAACATGATCTAATGAACAAGATTTAGGAGCAGACGGTTTAATTAGGGTTAAAACAAAAGATTCACTGACCAAGTTAAATTTTCTAAATACACAGAATTTTCTAACTTGTCAATAGATTTATTTAAAACGTCAAGTTCAGTTCGTATTTTCTGTATCTTTATTTGAAAGTAATCCGAGAATCCGTTCGTGAGTTCAGTGTCATTATCATTGTTCGAGAGAATAGTCCGCTCAGCATATGACCCAAAAGGAAATTCACAACTTTAAACAGGTCTTTTTGTCTGTTTTCACCATTTTCTATTTTATCAGAGTTAATTTTAGCGTCTTCAATTAATTTATTCACATTGGTTTTTTAAAGATTTATAAATCTGTTTATGGACATGTAGATTTGTTTTCCGACATAGATGCTCAGCCCTATTACAGTCCCTCCTAAAATAGTATGATTACACCACTGCGTGTTGGGACGTATATTACATTTTTTCGTTTTAAGAGGCACAAATGAGTTCAAAATTCCAGAAAGCATAGAGTGATACTGCTTCCCATTGTATTGCCATGAATACGTTGAAATTGAAAGTCATTGAAATCTGAATAGACTATTTCCGCTTTAAATTTATTAATGTCAAGTGATTTAAACCTTCGATATGTTAGAGTCTTTCTTGTCGGTTGTAGTTTCTGTATTTTAAAACTTGCCGGAAAATGATCAGATATTTATATCCAGTTTAATATCACAAAAATATGTTATCCCCAGATCGAGAATATTTCTACCAACATATGTGAGAGATCTGTTATTTAACAAATTCACAAAAATCAGCTGCGGTAGAGTCATTATCAACATGACAATTAGAATCCCCCCAAATAATAGTGCAACATTTAGTCATATTCAAGTGTCCAGAAATAACCCAAATTTTGACACATAATTGCTATCGGGCTGGCGATAAATTGTAATAATTCTAATTTCCTCAAAAGAATCAAAATGTTCACGGCGGATTTTCTTACACTTAATTATTGACGTAAATATGAGTGCTACACCTCCTCCATGTGAACCTCTAGGGCAATGTTGCACAGAATATCCATCGGGTACTAAAGCTGCGATTGCCGATGAATCTGAATAGTCATTATTCAGCCACGTTTCAATTATTCCACAAACATCAGTTGAATTTTCAACAATATAATCAGATAAAATTGTGGTTTTATTCCTTACGGATCTGGCATTAATTAACCAAAACGAAGTTGTTTACTGACGCTACATTTTCGCCCGCCTTCTAATTTGTATAAGATTGTTGTTTATTTTCTGTTTTGTTCTAAAGTTTTTGATCTGTTTGTGATTTTTGATAGAGTTTGAGGTGAGCTGGATGAGATTGCTATGATAAATGTTAGTGAATATTTCAAGAAAACACATTTTTATGATTTCTCGGATGAAAATTATTACAGATATTGCGTTCCAATGCAGGATAACTTCCCCCCGGGGAAGTCCCCCAGCACCTAGCTTCCTGCACACTTGAGAGAACATTTATTGAAAGTCCAATTATTGTTTTTGTCCTATGAATAACATAATCAAACTTTTTTTTCTTTTTTTCAAAACTAAAAACGGTTATAGCAGTGGACTTGCAAAGAAAATAAAATTCCCTTTAAGAAATGTTGACACTTGACTGGAGGCCCCAAGGGTGAGTAAATTAATTAATTGTGTTTCTTTATTTAGAAAATGACCGTGTGTTAAATAAGATAATACTGGGTTGTTTGTTTGTTGACACTAACGGACTATCATTACTTTAACAATAGGATTAATCACCAAAATACCCAAAGAACAATTCCGAGCCAATAGTCTCTTTATTTGTTGCTTTTATTTGAAATTAAAGTTGTCTAGATTTTATCAGGCGATAACTATACGTTTTATTCACCTATTTAACGTTTTCCCAAGATGTGTAATCACTCGTGTTTGACTGACTGACACCGTTAATATATAAAAAAAAATGTAATTAAATCGAGATACGATATTATCACAGAATTGGAAATGGGGTGGGGTGGGTGGGGGTTGGCAGGACTGTAGTCATAAATACGTATAATATTCAGATCATACTAACTTTCAACTACCTGACAAGCTTTGTATTTACTGACTTCTCGTATTCGATTAATATAATGTTCAGTATCCATTAATCTGCATAGCATATAGCTTATTAATAATCCCAATTTTTGATTCTGGTAGGGTCTAACATCATTTATTCCGAAATTTATTCAATGTTGAAATAAAATAAGGCCAGGACTATCTTAGGACCTTCTTTTCAAATCCATTGTCTATTCTTTTGTGTGTATGTGGGGGCAGTTTTACATTGTTTCTGAAAATACATATCTGCATATTTTTTTGTTGTGCATTTATCCCACAGTATCTATCTGACTAAACCCGATTCATATTCCCAGGGGAGCCGCGATGGCCCAGTCAGCCAGACGTTGGATCGCTAACCTGGAGGTCCCGTGTTCGACCCCTTTGCTGGACGATAAAGTCGCCTGGATTGTCAGTGGGACAGGACCGTGCGACGACAAACCGAGGTCCCATGTGCACGTAGAACTAGAAGAACCCTTGACAGATGGAATTTGAAATAAGAGAAGGCCGTAGTGACGCTTTCCGGGCCAAATTTCCTGTCTTCATTAGCCCAGTCGGAGCAGAACAGTAGGACGTTAACACCCCCCCCCCCCATTCCATTTCATATTCCTAGTTCAATGACTCTTACAGTTGTATACTGTGTGGGCTAACATCATTTCAAGTGCAATTGTTTCCCTATTTCTTAAAACAGAAACGGAAATGAAATGAAATGACTTACTTCTTAGTAAAGTACTTGATATTTATATCTGAGAGATGATTTTATTATACGTAATCAAACATACAGTCCATCACTGACAAGATGTCTGTGAAGACTTTGTCATTTCTTTTTGTGCTATCGTCGTTTTTTAACCTAGGAGAGACAGGTGAGTTTATGATTATATGAATCCCCGGTGACATACGTTGTAATGAAAATATGATATGGGAATGGTAATTTTGCCAGGGCGATGGTGCTATCGCTTTAGCTAACCTAAAGACATAATTTATTGGCAGCTCCACAGACGCTACCCTCGTTAACTTGTTAACTCTCCATACGTCGCCATTTCAAAAAAATAGCTGACACATGAACATGTATAAATACGGAGACATGATGACTGTTTATGTGTTCATTATTACAGTATAACGACATTAAAAGATGTATCGCTCTGTTCTTTGGAGTCTGAAAATAAACGACAATGGGTCTAGAACACATCATGTAATACGAGTGTATATAAAGTGAATTATATTTTTTTTTTACTTTGTAATTTCTAATCAATTATGTTCGTTGAAATACGTGGAACAGTTCGAATTGAACGATATTAGTTTGCGCCTGTTAGTCCATTCTTCACGTTTTTTTAAAAATGATTTTGTCGTTTGTGAATCAGCCCGTTTGTCTTGTGGGATATTTATTTTTGTTTGAAAATTACAAATGGCGCTCCAAAGCAAGGAGTACACGAGTCGTGTACGAATTTTAAAATGTTTATTGTGTCTTAAATCGGGTAAGATAACAACAGGAGCATTGATTGAAATGGACCAACATTTAATCCAAATTCGAGCTTTCAATTTTGAATATTAGGGGTAATATTTAGGTAAGCTATAGAAATAGATACTGATATATATATATATATTTCTATGGTTAGACGTTTAGTCATGTTTACTAATGCGGTGAGATAAAGGATACCATGGTAAAACCACCTTATACCCAATAATAATAAATAATATATAATTTTCTTTGCTTTTTCTTTTGTTCTATCAGGATGCAATCAGGATTTGGTTGGAATGTCGGGAGTTTTTACATCCCCAAACTATCCTAAAAGATATCCAAATAGTCAACTATGTATTTACACCATAACTGTTCCCGAGGGAATGACTATAAAATTAACATTTTCAGACTTTAATGTAAGTCTTTTTAATATTCTATGATTTTTTTGTTGAAATATTTTTTTTTATTGAAATCTGAATTTTCTCATCCATACTGTTTTAAACCCTGCTAACCGATTTGCTTGTCGGGTAGTGACCCTATCAGCTTACTTTTACACTTTTAATAGAGCAACTGATGCCACTTATTTAAGAAATCCACACTGCAAACGATTTCTTTTTATCATGTTTTACTCTGTTTTAAGCATCGCAAATCTGGTGCTATCGTTTTCGTTGTTAGTCTATTTCGTTCGTAGAGCAAGTGGCTTCACAGTAGATTTCCATCGACTAGCCCCCCCCCCCCCCCACCATTTCTCGCGGGAGATCCCAATGGTATTCACAGTTTCGTATAGTGTTCTCACATCCCATGCCTAATTCGACGAAGGGGACAATTGCAAGAGAAGCTACGTCCGTGAGTTTCAGCCCATCTCATTAGCTTTTCCACAGGTTGTTTTACACTTTGTCAAAGAAACTTAATTAATGTAATTAATTGATATCATCCGATTATTAATAATCTGAACTTTTAACAAGTGCCCGTCTCGTTAATTCGAAGACTTTGTCTTAGATTTCACATACATATGTGATCGAATTACGTCAAATAGGTTATACTGACCAGCGATATTCTTCAAATTTAATTGTCAATACCCGTTTAAACTAGATTACTCAATTACCTATGCTTTATGTAATACTGGTATATTTTATTTTTAAAGACTGAATATGTCCACGACAATGTGTTCATCAAAAAAGACCGCACAGTATTGCGTAAATATAATGGAATTCAAATTCCTGATACATTTTACAGTTCATCGAATACTCTGACTGTTCAATTTACAAGTGATTATTCGGTTACGAAAACTGGATTTTATGCAACCTTTACAGGTAAATATTCTCGATATTTTAAACTTATTTTTATCAAATAATTCAGAGTGTAGTCAACTGGACACTGTTCTTGTTTGTCTGCCGCATCTAATCAATATATGGGGGTTTAACGACCTACTGTTTTGCTCCGTCTGGGTTAATGATGACCGGCATACGCCGGGAAAATTTGCCCGAACAGCGGCGCTACAGAGTATTCTTATATCGGATTCCAACTGCTAACTGATCTTTTACGTGCACGCCAATGTGTACACGGGACCTCGGTTTTCGTCCCATACGAACGATAAGACAACTGTCCTTGTCAGGTCCTTCGTCCTGCACCACTGACAAGGGGTTAGTGCTAAATGATAAGGCCAATTTTTGGTAACCCTGGACCTAGCCCCAATGCTTACTATAACCCTAACCTACAATCTCGCCAACAATCACGTGCCCTAACCTTATTTACATCCCAGCGACCTTGACAAAAATAGAGCTGGCCTTAAGAAATAGATTTAGCCGGGAACCCGCTCCGGAAAATTCCGATTAACTTTCTCGGCCAACACCGGAAGCGAACCGCGACCTGCTGGCTAGCGAGCCAGCGCCTTATTCACGCCCATTCACGAAATGAAAAGAAGACTTGGCAGTACATGTATATTAACAGTTAAAAATACAGTGTCGGATTTGTCAGATCACATGCTTTGTTAACTTACACTTACAATGATGTAAATGCACATGGATACAAAAATGAAATGAAATGAAATTGGGGTTTAACATCCTGGTACTGTTCTGCTGTTGCTAAAAACTGGGACGTTAAACCCCATACACTCATTCTGCTGAAAATAGTTATTTCAGTAATGTTTTCTCAGACGAATCAATTATCCATCGAACTTATTTAATTTCTGTATATTCGTAAATAATGATATATTAATATTTCCTTTTCATCTGTAGGTATATGCCCAGACGGAGCTGATACGAAGCAATGTTCAGATCAGTGTAAGGACGGCAAATGTCATCCTTGTGGTGGCTATTGTACAGAAGGGTGTAAGACCGGTTTCTATGGAACTCATTGTAACATCCAATGTGGCCTTCATTGTAGACAAGACACGTGTGCTTTAATAACTGGGGTTTGCACCGATGGCTGTACGAATGGTTTCTATGGCAACATGTGTAATCTAGCATGTTCCAGTAATTGTAATCAACGAATTTGTGAAATCACAAATGGATTTTGCAACAGTGGATGCAAAAACGGCTACTATGGCAATAATTGTAACAACGCCTGCCCTAATTGTAACACTGAGGGATGCCATCAAACAAGCGGAGTTTGTACCGATGGTTGTAAGGATGGTTTCTATGGCAACAAATGTAATCTCGCATGTCCCAGTAATTGTAATCAAGGAATTTGTGAAATCACAAATGGATTTTGCAACAGTGGATGTAAAGACGGTTACTATGGCAATAATTGTATCAACGTCTGCTCTAATTGTAAAACTGGTGGATGTCATCAATCAAGTGGAGTTTGTACCGATGGTTGTAAGGATGGTTTCTATGGTAACACATGTAATCTTACATGCTCCAATAATTGTAATCATGGAATTTGTGAAATCACAAATGGATTTTGCAACAGTGGATGCAAAAACGGCTACTATGGCAATAATTGTAACAACGCCTGCCCTAATTGTAACACTGAGGGATGCCATCAAACAAGCGGAGTTTGTACCGATGGTTGTAAGGATGGTTTCTATGGTAACAAATGTAATCTCGCATGTCCCAGTAATTGTAATCAAGGAATTTGTGAAATCACAAATGGATTTTGCAACAGTGGATGTAAAGACGGTTACTATGGCAATAATTGTATCAACGTCTGCTCTAATTGTAAAACTGGTGGATGTCATCAATCAAGTGGAGTTTGTACCGATGGTTGTAAGGATGGTTTCTATGGTAACACATGTAATCTTACATGCTCCAATAATTGTAATCATGGAATTTGTGAAATCACAAATGGATTTTGCAGCAGTGGATGCAAAGTCGGTTACTATGGCAATAATTGTAACAACGTCTGCTCTAATTGTAAAACCGAGGGATGCCAGCAAACAAGCGGAGTTTGTACCGATGGTTGTAAGGATGGTTTCTATGGCAACACATGTAATCTCACATGTTCCAATAACTGTAATCGAGGAATTTGTGAAATCACAAATGGATTTTGCAGCAGTGGATGCAAAGATGGTTACTATGGCAATGATTGTAACACCATTTGCTCAAATTGTAAAACTGAGGAATGCCATCAGTCAAGTGGAGTTTGTACCGATGGTTGTAAGGATGGTTTCTATGGCAACCCATGTAATCTCACATGTTCCAATAATTGTAATCAAGGAATTTGTGAAATCACAAATGGATTTTGCAGCAGTGGATGCAAAGTAGGTTACTATGGCAATGATTGTAACACCACTTGCTCAAATTGTAAAACTGAGGAATGCCATCAGTCAAGTGGAGTTTGTACCGATGGTTGTAAGGATGGTTTCTATGGCAACCCATGTAATCTCACATGTTCCAATAATTGTAATCAAGGAATTTGTGAAATCACAAATGGATTTTGCAGCAGTGGATGCAAAGAAGGTTACTATGGCAATGATTGTAACACCACTTGCTCAAATTGTAAAACTGAGGAATGCCATCAGTCAAGTGGAGTTTGTACCGATGGTTGTAAGGATGGTTTCTATGGCAACCCATGTAATCTCACATGTTCCAATAATTGTAATCAAGGAATTTGTGAAATCACAAATGGATTTTGCAGCAGTGGATGCAAAGAAGGTTACTATGGCAACGATTGTAACAGCATTTGCTCTAATTGTAAAACTGGTGGATGCCATCAATCAAGCGGAATTTGTGCCGATGGTTGTAAGGATGGTTTCTATGGCAACCCATGTAATCTCACATGTTCCAATAATTGTAATCAAGGAATTTGTGAAATCACAAATGGATTTTGCAGCAGTGGATGCAAAGAAGGTTACTATGGCAACGATTGTAACAGCATTTGCTCTAATTGTAAAACTGGTGGATGCCATCAATCAAGCGGAATTTGTGCCGATGGTTGTAAGGATGGTTTCTATGGCAACACATGTAATTTCACATGTTCCAATAACTGTAATCGAGGAATTTGTGAAATCACAAATGGATTTTGCAGCAGTGGATGCAAAGATGGTTACTATGGCAATGATTGTAACACCATTTGCTCAAATTGTAAAACTAAGGAATGCCATCAGTCAAGTGGAGTTTGTACCGATGGGTGTAAGGATGGTTTCTATGGCAACCCGTGTAATTTCACATGTTCCAATAATTGTAATCAAGGAATTTGTGAAATCACAAATGGATTTTGCAGCAGTGGATGCAAAGAAGGTTACTATGGCAATGATTGTAACAACATTTGCTCTAATTGTAAAACTGGTGGATGCCATCCAAAAAGGGGAGTTTGTACCGATGGTTGTAAGGATGGTTTCTATGGCAACACATGTAATCTCACATGTTCCAATAATTGTAATCAAGGAATCTGTGAAATCACAAATGGATTTTGCAGCAGTGGATGCAAAGAAGGTTTCTATGGCAATGATTGTTACAACATTTGCTCTAATTGTAAAACTGGTAGATGCCATCAATCAAGTGGAGTTTGTACCGATGGTTGTAAGGATGGTTTCTATGGCAACACATGTAATCTCACATGCTCCAATAATTGTAATCAAGGAATTTGTGAAATCACAAATGGATTTTGCAGCAGTGGATGCAAAGAAGGTTACTATGGCAATGATTGTAACACCACTTGCTCAAATTGTAAAACTGAGGAATGCCATCAGTCAAGTGGAGTTTGTACCGATGGTTGTAAGGATGGTTTCTATGGCAACCCATGTAATCTCACATGTTCCAATAATTGTAATCAAGGAATTTGTGAAATCACAAATGGATTTTGCAGCAGTGGGTGCAAAGATGGTTACTATGGCAATGCTTGTAATCAAACATGTTCTAGTTGCACACCTGGTGGGTGTAGAATATCAGATGGCTTCTGTGTTAACGAATGTAATACTGGTTTTTATGGCAATTCGTGTAATAAACGCTGTAACGAACTCTGCGTCGGTAGTTGTGGCAGGTTAGACGGTTATTGCAATGCATGTCGTTCTTGGAGATTTGGCAAATATTGTGAGCATAGTTGTAGTAATGGCTGTGTAAATGATAGCTGTTCTAGCGTAGATGGGTCATGTTCATGTAAATATAATACTTATTACGGTGATCAGTGTGATAGAAGATGTAGTGAAAGGTGTATAGATAGACGATGTGTGGAGCTAGTACCATCAGGCCCACCACAGTGTAAAGGCGGTTGTATAGATGAATATAAGGGTCCATACTGTCAAACACGATGTCCACGTAACTGTATTAAATGTAACGACATGGCTTGCTCTGTCTGTAAAGATGGTTGGTTTGGTGACAGCTGTTCGTCTCTTTGCCCTAACCACTGTGTAAACTGCAATGAAACCACATGCCATATTTGTCAGGAAGGCTGGCATGGTACGGTATGTCAGAACACTTGTCCTGAAAATTGCCAAAATGGATGCGGATTAGTAACCGGAGAGTGTACCAAGTGTAAAGAAAATATGTTTGGTCGTTTCTGTAATTCATCTTGCAGTAGGGGATGTAAACAAGTTAGTAACCAATCAACGTGCAATAGCACTGGTTGCTTAAATGGTTGTGTTCATGGAAGATTTGGTTATTTGTGTGATGAAAGTTGCAGCTCCACTTGCGATGAGGGATGTGGCATGGACGGTGTATGTACCAACTGTGTCAGTGGTTACTATGGCAATCAGTGTCAGCACAAGTGCAGTTCACTTTGCAAAGGAGGATGCGACAGAGCTGGGACATGTACCAACTGCATTGATGGTTACCTAGGCGAAATGTGCGACGAAGTCTGTAGCTATGCACAGTGTGGGGCCTGTGACAGGGATACTGGCAACTGCACTAGTTGTTTGACTGGTTACTATGGTGACACCTGTAATGAAACGTGCCATTCAACTTGTGTTGGGGGTTGCAATTGGGAAAAGGGCACATGTTTTAAATGTGAAGACGGATATTATGGAGATAACTGTAGCTCAAATTGCAGCGTTAGATGTTTAAATGAATGTAACATAGTCGATGGTAGTTGTTTAGGATGCGATGTTGGGTGGAAGGGGAGGCTGTGCAACGAATCGTGTTCTGATATATCCCCTGAGTGCACCGAATGTGACCAAACTGAAATCGAATGCTTGTCTTGTGCCGCAAACTGGTTTGGACCTACATGTGCAGAACGGTGTCCTGTCGACTGCTTTGGTGGTACGTGCGATGTAAAAGGTGATTGTATTACTTGCGAATCCGGGAAGTTTGGACCGAGGTGTGATAAACTTTGTCCCGTCAGATGCCTTGAAAGGATATGCGACATGGATGGAAATTGTAAAGCTTGTGAGAACGGACATTTTGGATCCACTTGTGACCTAAATTGTAGTATGAGTTGTAGACCTACCCAAGTCAACCCTGTATGTAATTACACAGATGGTACTTGTACGGACGGGTGTGTAGATGGTAAGCGAGGAGCTAATTGTTCAGAAGGTTAGTTCTGTTTCACACCGTATTTTAGTGGTCATATTATATTGTGACTGTCGGTCCACTCGCCTGTATAATTATAGCTTATTACAAGAAAATGTGAGATGCTGATTTTCAACGACTTTGGGTTAAAATTTGTAGATATTTGGTAATATTAGACTATTCTTTTACACCGAGCATTGTTAATTTAAATAGAATTTTCCAGTTTATCGTAAAATTTGGCTAATTCCGCGAATTAATTCGTTTTTTTTGCTAATTGTGCTAGTTTTTTCACAATAATGAGGCAGTATGTGCAGTAGCGGATTAGACCCGAATTTCTTTTTGAAAATCTAACAATAAAACTGAAAGAAAACACAGAAGTCGGGGCTAACATTTGATATGAAACCCCTGAGACAGGGCCCACAAGTCCAGAGTGGGGGGGGGGGCAGTATAATAAAAGTGCCCCAAACTCCAAGAAAAGTTGAGGGTTTGTTTTATGGGTTTTTTAAATGTATGGTGCACTTACTATTTATTATCTATGCGGTAGCATTCTTTCTAGTGCGAATCGCACATCACTTGCGACCCCGTTGTTGACCGAAAACGATCATCGGGATAGGACGTTAAACCCCATTTCATTTTCATTTGTTTTCAGTGGGTTCCACTATCAGATCCGGATTAAGATTTTATCGTCCCCTACAGCTAATATTTTCAATAATGATTATTAAAGTTTAAACATTTGTTTTAAGTAATTTCTTTCAAACCAATTTCTTCAAATACTTTAGTTCAGCATTAACTTTTTGCTTCGTCAATTTTGTTTACGTGGAGTGGGTGATTAACCATTGCAGAACCGCGGGCTAGTATGGAATCCTCTATCATTATTGAAACTAGTATTTTGCCGCAAAAAATGCTTATAAATCCGTATCAGTAATAAGTTCAGGAAAGCTGTGACAATTAAATGTATGGTTTGAACAAGCTTCCCAGATGCGATTTTGGGTGGAAGGGGAGGCTGTGCAACGAATCGTGTACTGATATATCCTCTAAATGCACCGAATGTGACCAAACCGATTTTGTGTCCATAACATGGGGGTTAATGTCCTACTTTTCTCCACCGACATTGTTAATGAAGTGCGATATTGGAAATGTTACCCGTGCAGCGGTGCTACCGCCAATTTACGTCAAATCCAAACGACTAGACGCTTGCCAGGCCCTCCGTCGTATACCATTGATAACTGAAAACCTCACCGGGAAATTCCGAGGAACTTTCAAGCCCAACATCGGGATCTCGAAGATGGGTAAGCGGAAATTTTGCTGTTCGGGCAAAGTGGCCCGTCATAGCACATTGTCCGTCTTCATTAATCCAGTTGTTGCAGAAGATCAGAATGTTTAACCCAATTTCATTTGTTTTTCGCTAGATGTGGGGAACGAAATCATTGGTTCCAGTATGTATCTTAAATCGACTGGGAAGTACTCGGCGATGTAATTTTCAAAATTTTCTTTCAGAGGACCCTCGAACCCCTGTGGCTAAGGATCTTCGGAACGTGCCGCCTGCGGCGGATGACCCCTAAATCCATCCCTGAGTATGTGATGTGGTGGTATTTGGTAGTATCTAATGAGTATTGGGCGGTATTGGGTAGTATTGGGCAAATCGCCCTGTCGAAATTGGTGACTCTAATAATGATTGAATGCAAGGGGTGTGTTACGGGAGGTGGGGGGGGGGCGTATATTGTATTCAATTTTCCAGATTATATTCAAAACCGTTTTTTTTTTTAAATAATAAGTTAAGAAACGGTAAATAGGGTGAATCTGTATAATAATGATTTACTAATTTAGAAATGACGGATCTACTTATGTGTATCTTCCGTCTTCATAAGTAGACGATCTCTTTCATCTCGTCCTCTGTGGATTATTGAATCCGGAGTAATTGCATGATGTCTATATAAAGCTACTCGCTCTTAAAGATATATCAACACTTTTCGACTTTCGTGTTTTGAAGGGGCGAAAAGTAGAAATTATGAATGGTAGTTATAGGCTTCTATAAAATTGTAAGACAAAATAAACATTTTACCATTGGTTCACGAATGCCTTTAAGTGCCATTTATAACAAGGGACTCGAAGGACGGGGCTAGATATATTCCACAAGTAACTCAAACGGTTACATCATATTCCTATCTGGAGAACATGCGCAATAAATACTAAATCAGTTTATGTACATTCATATTACATTATTATTTGTGTTGCGAACCATTTGTGTCAATTTCTAGGTCCTAAATATTAGCGATTTAGCTCCTTTAAATAACAAATACATGTAGATTGTTTTGGGGTGACCTTTTCCCTGTATGTAAATAATCAGTAAATGTTCATATTTTTGCACCAAAATAGATAATTTTGGATCAAATTTTCTTTTACTGATAATTGATAAGTTCGTAAATAGTATTGTACGATGGATCAATAGGCCATTAATATTTCGATATTGACCCCTTTCTATAGAAATCAATATATAATTGGCAAGAGTTATACAATCGTAATGTGCTCAACAACCCTTGTTTTACTTATGAATATTTATCTCCACAAGAAAAAGTTCAAAAATCATTTAATTGGTTAACATCAAATTGGTCAATATCAAAGTATATGAGTAAAATAATGTAAGATATTTTATACCCTGGCTTAGACAAGCTGCTGTAGATATAACATCAAATTAATAAGCTTATTATTACATTATGTAATATTTGAATCATTTTTTTTTTATTTTATTAAATTGTTATTAAATTTGTTTATTTCTGTGTTTAATTTGATTAGTTTTTCTTATTCTCTTATTCAAATTTCATAGAATCTGATTCCAAACCCATCTAGCTTTAGTTTTACATTCTAAATATAGAGCAGTGTAATATGACACTTATACAATACACCATCTGAATAGATAATAATTGGGCTACAATTTATTGTCTTTGAGAGGATGATGACAGGATTCTCTTCAACAAACCTTTGAGGTCACATTCCCAAACTTGAAGAAATCTGGCTGATTTCTAGTTGGTCTTAAGACTGTATAGATTCATTTACGATTTCTGTAGCCCCTGTTTAGAGTATTTTCCATGCAATTGTTTGCTCTATCAGATCATCCAATAATCATGTAGTAACCATCGGTTGCTGTGTAATGTTGCTATTTGCAGATTATTGAGAAAAGACTGGCTAATTAATTTTACAGTGAGTTTGGGGCCCTACGTGTAGGATTATACTCTTCTCTGGTATCCCCCTGTCCCCATTTAATATATACTATTCAAAAAAAGTAGGGGATATTTGATTTTTATACGTCCACATTCATAATGTGAACGTATTATGCCGTCGCCCCTGTCTGTGTGTGTGTGTGTGTGTATGTATGTATGTGTGTGTGTGTGTGTGTGTGTGTGTGTGTGTCTGTGGTTCGCCTACAGGGCGCAATTCTTCATGGATTTTCTTCAAACTTGGTATACTTATTCCTTATACCCCAAGGAAGATCCCTATTGTTTTTGGTGCATGCCCGACCCCCCGGGGCAGAGCCACGCCCATTTCTAGTATTTGTTTGTTTGTCGTCTACAGGCCACATTTCTTAACTAATAATCTTGAAACTTTGCATACACATTCTTTGTACCCTAAGGAACATCCCTATCGTTTGGGGTGCATGCCCAACCCCCAGGGGCAGAGCCACGCCCATTTTCTTTTCGTGTGTCTTTGTGTCGCCTACAGGGCGCAATTCTTACTGGATTTTCTTCAAACTTGGTATACTTATTCCTTATACCCCAAGGAAGATCCCTATTGTTTTTGGTGCATGCCCGACCCCCAGGGGCAGAGCCACGCCCATTTCTAGTTAATTGTGGTATGAATTCTTCTGCTTAAATAACGATAAGAGTTATGCCCCTTTATTTTCGGTAAAATGTCCGACAAGAACCACATCCCTATAGTTTTTGGTGAATGTCCAACCCCCAGGGGCAGAGGCACGCCCATTTTCTTTATGTGTGTCAGTACAGCTTGCAATGCTTAATCAGTCGTCTTGAAAACTTTTTTATACTTATTCCTTATACCCTAAGGCTGACCTCTATTATTTTTGGTGGATGCCCGACCCCCTGGGACAGAGCCCCGCCCAATGTTTGTGTGTCTTGTGTTTCGCCTACAGGCCACAATTCTTAACAGATCCTTTTGAAACTTTGCATACCTATTCCTTATACCCTAAGAATGACAACTGCATGTCCGGTGACCCCCAGGGCCAGAGCCACACCCAATTTTTGTGTTTATCGTTTACAGGCCGCAATTCTGAATGGATTAACTGGGTACTTGGCATATGTATTCCTTATAGCCTAAGGGTGTCAACTATTGATTTTGGTGAATGCCCTTACTGAAAGGATTATCTTGGAACTTGGTATACTTATTCCTTATACCCTAAGGATGGCAACTATTGATGTTGTCATTTCAATAACAGGGTGGTGCCTATTTATATTGTTCCATTTTCAACCCCCAGGGGCAGAGCCACACCCGATTTTTGTATTTATCATCTACAGGCTGCAATTCTGAATGGATCATCTTGGAATTTTGCATATTTATTCCTTATACCGTAACGACAGCAACTATTTATTTTGGTGCATGCCCCAACCTCCTGGGGCAGTGTCATACCCACTTTTTTGTTAATATTTTGTCTGTAAATTTGGCAAAACAAACCCAACGCCTAGCCTCCTTTTCATTCTCAATCAAAGCTGGAACGTGGACGTATATTCCAGCGTTAGCGATGCTCTTGTTAAGTGTTATTAAAGTCACCTAATGAAACTGACGAAGAAACAAATGACAAAATGAAATGAAGTTCACATTCATCGATTTATTCCAAATGATCGTTAGACTAAGTAAGGCACAGACTGACCATTATAAGGGTAAAATGATACCCAGGGTCAAACAGCAAAGTTACCACAGCATCACAACCAAGTCAGTAACGGGTAAATCCTCCTCTGTTTGCCAAACAAGCATTGATCCGACGTGGCATACTCCTAATGAGACGTCTAAGGTCATTTTGGTCCAGATTGTCCCATTCCTGTTGCAACGCAGCAGCAAGTTCTTGGACATTGGCAGGACGTTGTTGACGTTGACGTAACCTCTGTCCAAGCATGTCCCAGACATGCTCGATGGGGGAGAGGTCGGGACTCAGTGCTGGCCAAGGTAATGTGGTGATGTTCTGTTGTTGGAGGTAACCTGTAACGATCCTGGCCCTGTGACATCTTGCGTTGTCATCCTGGAAGATGAAACGGCGGCCATGACGTCGTGCGAACGGCACAACATGGACTGCCAAGATGTTGTCCCGGTAGTACTGGCCTGTAACACGCCCTGCAACAACATGTAAAGCCGTTCTTCCAGCAACAGTGATGCCTCCCCACACCATAACAGAACCACCCCCAAATCGATCATGTCTGATGACGTTAACGTCTTGGAAGCGCTCGTTTCGACGACGCCACACCCTCCTACGTCTGTCCAAAAAATCAACAGTGAACACTGACTCATCTGAAAACATCACATTGCTCCAGCGTCGATTATCCCAGTGTTGACGATCCCTACACCAACGACGTCTTGCCTGAATGTGATGATCTCTCAAACAAGGGATCACGCGAGGACGTCGGGCGCGAAGGTGACCCCTATGCAGTCGATTCCGAGTTGTCGCCCTTGGTCGACTTGAGCGTGGTCTGTCCTGTACAGATTGTGTATCACGGTATCTGGACCATAGCCTGCTTATGACAAACTGAGAAACATTCATCGTCCGCGCCACAACCGCCTGTGTTGTGCCGATCTGTAGCATGCCAAGGGCACGTAACCTTTCATTTTGGGTAAGCCGACGCATATCAAAATTTGTTTTCTGGTCACTAAAACAATTAAACTGATGTTTCCACCCTGGAATTCAATGCCACAATGACTGTAACATTCAAAGTCAGAGTCGTGCAAATCTTGGGTTGGACCCCCATGATGATCCCAAGCATCACCTGCATTCCATGCGGTAGCTATTGGTGCGTTTGGGCGTCACATGTAACTGGAAATGTTTCTTCTGTTAGGTTCTATAGTGACTTTTTTCGTAGTCATTTGCATATTTTAGTATTATGCCCCCAAAATCAAATATCCCCTACTTTTTTTGAATAGTATATATAGCCAACAATTAAAAGAAACGCTTATTTCAGTAGCCCCCCTTCTCTGCTTCCTGTGATGACTGAGGGGTCTCATTTTGGATAGCCGTGTTTAGGCTACGGTATAGGGCAATAGAACGGCATTAATGTTCCTGGCGTTCCGTCTAACCATCGCAGTTTTACTCCACCATAGCTTCACAGCCCCCGTCCCCCCTTCCAACGCATGACGCACATCACCAAACTGCTTTGACAAATTCCGCACTTTCTTTTTTTTTTTTTAGATTGTATGGAAGGATGGTATGGTAAGGATTGTAAATATAAATGTGGTTTTTGTGATGAAAATAAGGCGTGTAATTTGACTACTGGAGAATGTCTTGTATATGGGTGTCAAGTGGGATATACAGGATCGAAATGCATGACAGGTAGTGTGCAGTTTCAAATAAATGTGTTTTCTATGTATTCGGATCGATGGATGCCTGACACAGGATTTCAAAAGTCCTTATATTAGCTGATAACAACAACAGCCTCGCGAGTTCATTAGATTCCGATAGTCCAACATTTCATTTCGAGAGTCATTAACTGTCCATCGTATCATGATAAATCTCATATCGAGTGTCATTAGCTGTCCATTGTGTCACGATAAATCTCATATCGAGAGTCATTAACTGCCTATTGCATCACGATAAATCTCATATCGAGAGTCATTATCGTGTCACGATACCTCTTATATCGAGAGTCATAATATTAACTGTTCATCGTGTTACGATAAATATCATATCGAAAGTCATTAACTTTTCATCGTGACACGATACAACTCTTATCGAAAGTCATTACCTGTACATCTTGTCACGAGAAATCTCATATCGAAAGTCATTAACTGTTATAAATTTCATATTGACGAGACATTAACTGGTCATAGTATCCCGAAATTGTCAGCAAGTCCAATTAACTACTGGTCTATTCATAGCCTATGAAATATTAAACTTTTTTTTCCATTGTGACTCCTAGTACATGTATTCATATATCGAACTATGACGATTTTATGTTTTCCTTTAACCTACACATAAGATTATATATTTTTATTTCAGAGATAAACCAGAAGACAATTAGATTTGAATATGTATATATTGGCATTGGTGTGATTGTTGGCATCATCATGTTGACGATTGTCGGTGTGGTACTATGTCATCAGAAAAGGTACATTTATCGCAGCTTTATGAAATATACACCATAACGCACTATTTTAGGTTCTTGGCAAGTTTATACTTATATTTCTTGTCTGCCGTGTCTCTATTGTGGAGACAGACGTTTAACCCCTAACTACTACTATTGCATCTGATTTCTAATAAAATCAAAGTTATTATCCCATTTATGTATTTGTTTTTATCTTTCAGGAAGTCTCAAAGACAATGGAGCATCAAGATAAAATCGCCATTTTCAATGCCATTAGAAACTGGTGATAAGATTCATGGTGGGAATAACAGTGCGAATGACGATGACCATTCCTTGGTCTTAATTAGTGAGACAGCCATTGTATCGGAATCAGTTGCTGATAATCCGCTAAACGCTTAACACCCAGAAGATAAACGGCAACAAATGATTACGGATACACAGATGTAAATTCCAGAGGTTTCTGATACACGATGTTCCTGAGCTTTCTCATGAAACAAGTGGTTTTAATTTTACAGATGTTACCAATAAAACCTATGATGTTTAAGGCACCCAGATCTTCTGCTTCTAGCGATAGTTTTTTATAATAAAAAATTAGTATGTAGATAGCTATATCAATAAATAAACATTATGTTTTACTCTCAACATTTCATTTATTTATATATATATATAAACATTATGTTTTACTCTCAACATTTCATTTATATATATATATATATGTATATATCAATTTAATAAACATTATGTTTTACTCTCAACATTTCATTTATATATATTTGAATAAAATTTATCATGATGACTACTAAGAACACCTGTTACTGTTCAGTCTTTAATCAAGATGACTAACTAAGAACACGTTTTATTGTTTAGTCATTTATTTTGCAACAAACACGTGATCTGTTAAGCGATGAAACACGTACATTTAAAGGAGCCAAATCGCTATTCGTTGGCACCTAGAAATGGACACAAACCGGTCGTAACGCATATAATAATGTATTATGAATGTATATAAACTGAATTATATTCAGGGAGCCACGGTGGCTAAGTGGGTAAGACGCTGGCTTGCTAGTCTGGAGGTTGCGTGTTCGATCCCTGCATTGGCCGAGAAGGTTCATCGGGATTTACCGGGGTGGTTTCCCCTTGTCAGTGGTGCAAGACGGAGAGACTGACAAGGACAGCTGTCCAGTCGTTCGGATGGTCCGAAAAACCGAGGACTCGTGTATACATCGGCGTACACGTAAAAGATCCCTTGGCAGTTGTTGAAATTCGATATAAGAGTGGGCCATACTGCCGCTGCCCGGGCAAAAATTCCCTCATAGCACACTGTATGGCGTGTGCCCATCTTCATAATCCCAGTCGGAACAGAACAGTAGGGCGTTAAACCCCATTTCATTTCATTTCAAATCATCTTGATTTACATTCAGTACTTTCTGTTTTTACTCTAATTTCTAATCAGTTATGTTCGGCGAAATATGCGAATAGTCCAAAGTGAATGGCAGTCTTTGGCGTCTGTTTATTCCAGTCTACACCGGTAGTATTACCCTGTGGAGTATGTTAAATCGAATCGCTTCATTACAAATGACACTCGAAAGCATTCTGATTTAAATTGACTAATAAGGCAATGTCGAAGACTGTGGATGATATTGAGTTAGCGATCTGCTTCCTTTAAATATATTATGGTATCTTCACGTCTCAATACTGGAAACGATACAGACAAATTCCCCCTCGATCAAAGTTAATGTCACTAATTTTCAAGTCATGATATATAAACTGATTTTGATTTCTTGCCTTAACCTTACATCTTGTTAATACCCCACAGTCATTGTTTTATCTGCTAATTGGTTTCTAATTAATGTTATCTACATACCGGTATTGCTTTTTTTTTTAATTTGTAAAATTCGCGCATATCAGACCATAACTTCCTGGATTTTATCTGCTAATTGGTTTCTAATTTGTTATCTAAATACCGGTATTGCTTTTTTTTTTTAAAAAATCACACTTTTAGCTTATGAAGTCTCTAAGGGTCACAATTTTTATCTGATTTTGAAAAACCGTTTATATAAATAAATCACCGATACACCAAAATGAAAGTTGAGTTTGAATTTCGTGAAAATCTAAACGAAACTACCCGAAAAATGGCCATTCCTTGTATGCAAATAGTGTAAAAATATGTAATACGAAGGTTGTGTACCCCTTTGACGAAAATTAAAATATATGTTTATATCCTAAAGCTCTACGCTCCTTTTGATATTCGCGCATTTCAGACCATAACTTATTGGATTATGGCCAAAGATTGTACGAAAAAACCCGTTTTTTTTACCCTGTTCTCTATCCATCTCTTGAAAATTGTTGGCGTATCTTGCCTGCATGGCCACCGCAGATTAATTTGGAAATTCATTTTTAATTTTGTAAATTCAATTTAATTTTGTAAATTCAATTTAATTTTGTAAATTCAATTTAATTTTGTAAATTCAATTTAATTTAATTTTGTAAATTCAATTTAATTTAATTTTGTAAATTCAATTTAATTTTGTAAATTCAATTTAATTTTGTAAATTCAATTTAATTTTGTAAATTCAATTTAATTTTGTAAATTCAATTTAATTTTGTAAATGCATTTTAATTTTGTAAATTAATTTTTATTTTTTTGTAAATTCATTTTTAATTTTGTAAAATCATTTTTAATTTTGTAAATTCATTTAAATTCATTTGTAAATTCATTTTTTAAATTTGTAAATTCATTTTTAAATTTGTAAATAAATTTGTAAATTCATTTTTAAATTTGTATTCAGAACCAACAGACCGCCCCGGCGCACATGCATCCTCGACTGTAATAGGCCTAGTTGGTATGCCCTGTCGCCATTGAAGCTACGGTGGCTAAGTGAGTGAGACGCTGACTCGCTAGCCTGGAGTCGTGGGCTCGCTCCCGGTTTTTGTTGAGAAAGTTCATAGGGATTTTCCGGCGTGGTTTCTCCTTGTCAGTGGTGCATGACTAAGGGCCTGACCATGACGAAAAACCGAGGTCCCGTGTAGCCGACATATTGACGTGTATGTACAGGACGCTTGGCAGCTGGATTTTAACGTCCACTCGACACAAACTACAGCGCGCACGTGCTAACCGCTAACCATTCACCCCCCCCCCCCGCCCCCACGGTGCTCAAGAAAAACAGAAAAAAAGAAATTATTAATTTTGTCAAAAAACAAAATTATAAATTATTTTACAAAATGGAGACTAAATACAAAATATAAGATTAACAGTTTAAAATTATAAATTAATTTACAAAATTAAAAATTAATCTTTTAATGTTGAAAATTGAAAATAAAAATTAAAAATTAATTACAAAATTAATAAATTAATTACAAAATTAATTACAAAATTAATTACCAAATTAATAAATTAATTACCAAATTAATAAATTAATTACCAAATTAATAAATCAATTACAAAATTAATAAATTAATTACAAAATTAATAAATTAATTACAAAATTAATAAATTAATTACAAAATTAATAAATTAATTACAAAATTAAGAATTATATTACAGAATTAAATAAAAATTACAGAATTAAATAAAAATTACAAAATTAAAAATTAATTTCAAAATTAAAAAGTAATTACAAAATTAAAAAGTAATTTAAAAAAAAATAGAAATTAATTAATTACAAAATTAAAAATAAATTACAAAATTAAAAATAAATTACAAAATTAATACATTAATTACAAAATTAATACATTAATTACAAAATTAATACATTAATTACAAAATTAATACATTAATTACAAAATTAATAAATTATTTACAAAATTAATAAATTAAATAAAAAAAATTAAGAAATTAATTACAAAATTAAGAAATTAATTAAATTAATTAATTACAAAATTAATTAAGAAATTAATTACAAATTAAGAAATTAATAACAAATTAAAAAATTAATAACAAATTAAGAAATTAATTACTAAATTAAATATTAATTACAAAATTAAATATTAATTACAAAATTAAAAAATATTCTACAAAATTTAAAAGTAAAAAAATAGAAATTAGAAATACAAATAGTAAATCAAAAAACAAAAACAAAAGATAGTTATAATACTTAAAAAGTATATAGTACAATATGACATGACATTGATGTATCATTTTATTCTTGAATATTTCACAATTAGGCACATCATATAATGGTAGATAGTTCTATTTGAAGAAATGCTATTTTGTTTTAATGTATTTCTCGTTCGGATGTCACGAAAAAACTAAGCTCAACGTGCATGTAACGTAACTAAAACAACTTTGACAGTTAGAATAATCTCAATTATGTTTTGGAGAATAAAACTGTGCCACTGACTAACTCAATTTACGTAATACGTTTTCAGACAATTTAATCTTCATCTGCAAATTGAGACTGGTGTCCCAATCTGTATTATACGGTGTCTGGATAAAACCAGAGGTTTTTTTTATAAAACTTACGTTAGGTGAAATTTGCCTTTTTTATCAAGTACAATGCACTGTATAGGCCTCTAAAGGAACGACAATATATTATCATGTCACCCAACGATAAGATTGACCCGAAATCTTAAAAGGGTTACGTGTCCGGATAAGCGGGTTTGGCGTTCACGTCCAAACGACTCAATATTTTGACCTGAAATTTTGAGACAAGGTAATTACACAATTCCTCTATATTTTGGCGCCTAAATTGCACACGTACACGGACTTTTATTTCTTATACTTATACTCTATTATAATCGGGATGGCTGTTCTGCTCTTACTGGGCTAATTAATTAGTTATATTATAAGGCGGTATTACATGTAGGCCCCTATACCATAGATAATATGATTATACATAAGCGAAGTAGAACGTTAAACCCCATTTCATTTTATTTTAAACGAGAGTTGCAAATACAAGAGAAACGCAGAACACACAAACCATTTTTTACGAACATGTATAAAAATGAATATTCAAATTTCGCTTCGTTTCTTGTCTCTGGAAATCTATATTTTGTAAGAATCCGCTAAATTAGAGTTGTCTCCCTTTCAAAAGCAAAACATCCGTCGTTCCTGAACGTTTTAGAGGTATTTTGTTTACAACATCAAATCTTTTCTCCTTTTTAAGATTACACTGCAATATCACTGAAGAATTATTTTATACTAGCCTATTAGTTTTCTGTGGCCGAATTATGTACATATGCACAGTAATCATAGTAATGGTGCGTGAAGCCCTCTTATCGTGATCGTCATTTTTGTCTCTCATTTTCTGAGGTTAGTCACGTTTTCTGATTTCATTCAAAATTCGGTGAATTTCAACGTGCTATTATATGGTACCCAATACATTTGAACTCCGAAATACATTTTGATAGAGAAACATGATGCATGGCAATAATGTCCTGTGTTCCGGCGGCACCCTTCTAGTGTCCATCTTCAGGGGGTCGTGTAGATGGTAGCACGTCATTTCGGTCCCGCGTCATTTCGGACTCAACACAAACGTCGTTTCGGACTCATTCAGTCGACTTTTCGGACTCGGTCAGGCGACTTTTCGGACTCGGACTGGCGACGTTTCGGACTCAATAAAATCTGAAAAATTCTATGGATATATTTGTAATAGGCCCTAACTGTTTTTTTCTTTCGTTTTAGGTGAGGCTGAAAACAGACCATTCACAATAATAAAGAAATTAAACATTGTTAGTTGTGTTTTATTTATCCCATACAGACCATACGCAATTGAACTTGAAGTAAAACCAATATTATTGTTTTATTTAACTGATCAGTGATTATTGCATTTAATCTGTATTTTGATGGGTAAGTTTAGATTATTTACGATAATTGATCGCCAAAACACTGCTACTTACCTTTTGTTGATTAGTGAAACCAAGCCGAGATTCTTCAATCTGTGTTGATCAGTGATTTTTGTATTTAATCTAGTGATTAGTGAAACCATTAAGAAATAAAAACACTGTAACTTGTATTTAATCTGGTGTTGATTATTGAAACCAAGCTGAGATTATTGATAGCCCAAGCCCACGACAAGAAGGCCTCCGGTGTGATGCTTGTGATTTATGGCAACATCGTACCTGTGATTCTGGTACGTAATGAAAAAAAGTATATTTTATAAGATAAATGAATACCCGACTGAAGCTATTATTTCATCAAATAAATACATTGTTATTAATGTATGGTATGTATGGGATAAATAACGTGCGTAATAAGCTGGTCGTACACGATCAAAGAAAATTTAACAAATTTCTTTGACGGTCTCTTCAAATTTTCTTTGACCGTGTACGAAGCCAGCAAATAAATTTGCCCCTGCGTCGAAAAATGAAAGTGAAATCAATAGATTTAGATGCGTGCGTAGATTTGTGGCAAATTTATTTGACGGCCTATCGTACACGAGCATAAGTTCCAAATCTTTGACACATTTATTTGACGAAAAGCTATGCATGCCAGCGTTTGTCAAATCTCATATGGCAAATTCCCTCTCGTACACGAGCAAATTTATTTGACAAATCTCCATTTGTCAAAGAAAATTTGCTCGTGTACGACAGGCTTAAGGTCTGTATGGGATAAATAAAACACAACTAACAATGTTTAATTTCTTTATTATTGTGAATGGTCTGTTTTCAGCCTCACCTAAAACGAAAGAAAAAACAGTTATTACAAATATATACATATAATTTTTCAGATTGTATGGCGTCCGAAACGTCGCCAGTCCGAGTCCGAAAAGTCACCTGACCGAGTCCGAAACGTCATCTACCCGAGTTCGAAATGTCGAGGACATATTTTTTGGAGTCCGAAATGACGTAAGTCTGAAATGACGCGGGACCGAAATGACATGTAAACGTGTAGATAAGAAACCCCATCTCTCTCTCAACCCTATGTGTTTCGAAATAAGAGATGGTGCTATATATAGTTTTATATGGCAAATGCCAATGTGAAACACTTCAGGCTTCATTAAAGATACATTATGGGAGATTCGATAACGAGTTAACAGTTAAAATCAAATTGATCCACTATGAACCGAGAACAAAGCGATTGAATTTTCGTCTATCCGTGATCATCATTACTAAAGTCAGTACGATAAACAGCATAGTCTCGATTATCCATTTAATCGTTAAATCGTGAAGGAAAGTTATGCAGTAAATTGGCTCACAATCCACTAACGATCGCAGGATAGCGATGCCATCTAGAGATGATTATTGTCTGGATAGGTTAATTAATGTCTAATTAATAATTTAGATAACATTTCAGGCCTAAAGAAAGACCTGCAATAGACAGATTTAGCTCTTGCATAATGTATGTTTAAGCACAATTGACAACCTTTTTTTTATCAAAACAAAGATTGATTATTGTTATTTATAACATTTCTGCCACATCCAACAACAATTACGCATTAAATCCTACCTGAAATGGGTACAAATCATCGCATTTTTAATCAAGGCTTTGTAAGCTGTTACTAGGAAGCCATCTTAAAAAAAACTGCTTGTCATTAAAAGAATTCCACACGCCTTGGTAAACTTCGGTTGCCTACAATCCTGCAATGAAAGCCCTACGCACTCTTCGAACAACGTCATTTTGAGAATTTCTTTACTTAATAATAAGTAAACTGGTAGCCGCATTTCAATTGTGTGGGTGTAGCTACATATAATCATTGAGTATTGACCGTATTTACGGTCCATGATATTACTTACCGTCACACAGCCGAGGATAGATGTAGGGTACCAGATGCGGTCAAGATGTCGAGGTTTTCCGAATGAAATGAAGGGTGTAGGATAGACTTTGATGGCATTTTCAAATCGGATACAAATGATGCGTCTTTAATTTAAGCGCAAATATTTGGAATATGGCGTTAGTTGTGTCACTACATTGGCCCCTGTAAGTTTAATTAGTCATTTTTGACTGTGATACAAATAGTATCAGGGGCACCTCTGCTTTAGTTGAAGCAGGTTCCGTCTGAATTGTTGGCGCATAAAATACCCATGATCTGACAGGCCTCACTTGACAGCCTTCAGACGAAGCACCACAGATGCAAGCTTTTTAAGGGAGTCTGTTGGCATGCTCCCCGGAGAAATTTTTAAAATCTAGAGTCCCCGGAATGCAATTTTCATCAAGCATCCATGCTTAGTCAAGTTTGACCACTGATCGGCAATTTTGTCAAGACCGATTGTGTCCGTCAGGTCAAGCTCACACACAGGTCAAAAGTTCATTGAGGAGTTCCTGTTTCATTACAGAACGCATAACAGTTTTTAGTAATTTGAGCTTTGAAAAATTGGCATGTATTGTAATATCCAATCACACGACGTATACGCAGATATATTCATACATGTACATATATTAAGTATTTGGGATTTTTTCCTTCTATTTTGGTATTGTTTGTTTACCTCATTAATTCATTTAGTCGCTGATGCATAATTTTTAGACTGACTGCACTTATTTTGAGACTGACACCCACCACATAATATACTCCCCTGATATGATTCCTGACATGACTTGCCATTATCTTATGAGATCTTCGAAAGTACATAAAAGAACTGAAATTTAAATCTGTTTTTCAATCGTATCGGTTTGGCCACTGATACTAACATTGTTATCAGAAGACAGAACCATCAGTTGTCTATTCATCATCTTGCAAGTGTAATACATAATGGCTGCTACATTATGATTTATTATAGATTGTCAAAAAGTTTCCATTGAAGTAGGGGGGTTGGATGGCTGAATGGTAAGCACGTGCACGCTGTATCATAAAGTCTGTCATTGAGTCAACTGGCATGGTTTCGAATCCCCGGTTGTACGTGACAAGGAGTAGGGTCGCCTGTCCAACCTCGTGGGTTTTCTCTGGGTCCTCCGGTTTCCTCCCACTGCTAAAGACCCCTACGCGCAAGCGAATTATGGAAATGAAATTGAATCATATGTTAGTCCCGGAATGACCTAGTTTGTGTTGAGTGGACGTTAAACCCCATTACTCTCTCTCTCTTTTCCCTTGAAGTAGATGTACATGTATCTCATCATCTGATATAAATATAATGTTTTTGGTAACAAATATGTTTTTCCTGGTACAGTACATGTACCGTTAGTTTCCATATTTAGTATCTCGACTCTCAAGGAAATATATAGTTTATAACATTTTATGTGATACAGTAATTAACACATGTATATTGGTTTTATTTCAGCTTGAAACCACCATGCTTAATTATATTATGGCTGTCATTTTAATTTGAAGACTTAAAGCTACTCAACAAATATTGGAATTTGCATCAGAATGGCTAATACAACTCTATGTACTGATACATCTGAAGCTAAAGAACTTTATGGTCCCCAAAATCTTTTTATCAAACCTGTTGCTAAACTTAATATATGTGTCCAGCTACCTCAGTTAAAAGGGCCAGCAGGGAAAGCCATATCCAACTGGGAAGTGATGGAGAAAATCAAACACATGATAAAACCTGAGACGTTCATAACTCTGAAAATAGTGAAGAGTACCTTAGAATTTATACGTTTAGAAGGAGAAATTGAAAACAAGGGCAAAATAAAGTTACTGATTGCCAAACTTGATACAAAGACAGTCAAATTAAGTGGGTTTACAGAAGTTCTGAAGATTCGCTCAGCTGAAGCAAAAATAAACTTTCCCTCCAAACATGACTGGGACTCGTATTTCCGTGATGCCAAGAACATGAATGAAATGAAAGCCGGTGAAAGGCCTGATTGTCTCCATCTTAAAGATCTTCCTACTCGATGGTTTTCTTCACGAAACTCATCAAATAAAGACAAACCAAGTGAAAATGTGTTACGTCGTGTGTTTGAAGTATTTGGAGAAGTGCGTTGTGTCGATATCCCAATGTTAGACCCATATCGTAAAGAAATTATCGCAGCAACTAAACCAGGTGTCATACAGACATTTTCATATAATCAAGATTTAACATTTGAAGCTTTTGTACAATATAAAGAATATATTAGTTTTATGAAAGCAATGGATGCTCTACGAGGAATGAAGTTAATGTGTAAAGATGGGGATAAAGCTTTAACAGCCAATATAAAGGTAAACTTGTTCAATGATTAATTTCTGGGGCCATACATTATACATGTATTCAAGAAAATCTAACATCAAAATATTTTAAGAATGGAGGTTTGTGAGGTAAAATTTGTGCTGTATTTTTTGTACCCAGCCAATTAATGAAAATGGTTATATCCTTTAATTTAGGTTTTCATGAAAAAACACCTGATGGTGGCCTTGGTGGGATACTCTTTAGTGTTATCTAGAAATTCTGCTTTGACATCTAATCACTGATCGGAGAAATCCCTAATAATGTTTGCAAAATATTTAAGCTCAAACAATTATGACATTTTAAATTAGACCTACATGTATTGATTTTCCCTGTTACCCATCCATCTCTTGCAAGATGTGGGCGTATCTTACATGGCAATCGCTTGTTTATTCTATTAGCAATGAACCATCACATTTTAAGGTGTTACCCATCCATCTCTTGCAAGATGTGGGCATATCTTGCATGGCAACCACTTGTTTATTCTATTAGCAATGAACCATCACATCTTAAGGTGTGTCTTACATTGTATATTAGGTGATTAAATGTAAAACCTTTGTGTATTTTATTACAGGTAGATTTTGATAAGACAAAACATTTAACCGACAGGAATATTAGAAAGCGACGTTTAGAAAGAGAGAAATTAGAAGAACTAGAGAGATTGAGAGAAGAAAAAGTCAGAAAAGAAAAACAAGCAGAAGCAGATAAAGAAAGAGAAGAAAGGTGAACAAAGTTAAAGATACATTAAGGGAGATTAGATAAAGAGCTAGCAGTTCTCACTATAATAGTGAACTAGATAATGTAAAGGGAATTTGCTGAAAATTTCAGTCAAATTGATCCACTCTGAACCAAGTCACAAGCGCTGAAATAAGCGTCCGGACACGGACAATGTCCGGGCAAATTGACCCCTTTTGACAGGCCAAATTGCCTTTCGTCCGGACATAATTGTCCGACCGTGTTTTTGTAAAACATTATGTCAAAAATATTTGAGTCGATCGCTATTTATTATTAGACTCGAAAGTCCAGAACCAAAAATATCAATGACCCGAGTCATAGTGAAAATGTTACTATTTATATCTCGGCCGCGTGCAGATAAAATCTTCAATAATTTTTAGAATCGACTCTTTTACGCTGGTTATATCAACGACCCGAGTCATAGTAAAAATATTACTATTTATACATGTATCTCTCTCGGCCACGTGAAGAAAAAATAATGAATAATATTGAGAATCGGCTCTTTTACACTGGTTATTCGAGTCTCGTAGCTAGCTTTGCGTTACTTTCGTATATGATTAGCTCTAAATCACACCTAACATGACATGTAATTATATAAATTATTAGTAATAAAAGTAATAATATTTTAAAATTAGTTTACAAGAAAATGTCCAAGTTGACTATGGATGTAATTAGGGACAGATTTTTTATACGAAAATATCTCACTTTGTTGGACACTTCCAATGTGAATGTAAATAGAAGAGCCGTGAAAACATGTCGAATAAAATAACTTCTTACTTTTCCCAACCCTCGGACACGGATATCCCGGCTAGTGGGACCGTTCCAGAAAATTCAAAGACTGGTACTGTGTCTTAATCTTATGTCTCTCATAAAGACACTTCTAAACGGGGGGCGTCGCCGTCACCAGTTGGAAAAATACAAAAACGAGCCGTAGAACTAGAAAAGTGGATCAAAAATGACTTGGCAGATTCTGAACCATTTACGACAACTCAAGATGTCTATTCTTTAGTTAAATTTGAATCTTAATCAGAGTTTTTAGGATTTAGTCCCCAGCCCCACCAAAGAGATTAATGACATTATTATATGAACTATAAAGTTGTATTCCATATACATATAAAAACTTAAAACTCCAGGTTGTATGTGAGTCATCAATTTATTTTATTAATAAATGTATGTATAATAATATATATAAACATAGTAAATTTCAACAGTTTTTTGGTTTAATATACTTTATAAAGTATTTGTCAGGCTGAAAATCTGAAATGTCCGGCCGAAAATCAGTTCAGCCTGACATGATGTCAGGCTGAACCTTAGCAGTTATTTCAAGGCTTGCCAAGTCAGTACGATAAAATACATTGTCTCGATTACCCATTTCTTGATTTAATTATGACTGAGCATAGAGCAGCAGTAAATATCGCAGGCTAGCAATGGCATCGAGAGTTGATTATGGTCTGGATAAGTTAATTAATGTCTAATTAATAATTTAGATAACATTTCAGGACTATAGAAAAACCTGCAATAGGCAGATTTAGCTCTTGCATAATGTATGTTTAATAGAAGTAAAATACTAAATTCATATACTGGGCCAAATCGGGATCTGTGGGTGCAAACGATCAATAAGAATCACTGTGGTTCTTCAGAGAGAACGAGATATGGTTTGACGTCCACTAGACACAAACTGTGTCTTTTTTGGACTAATATATGGTTCAATTTTATTTCAATAATTTGCTTGTGCATAGGGGTTTTAGCAGTGGGATGAAACCAGAGAAAACCCACAAGGTTGTGAAGGTGACCCTACTCCTTGTCACATACAAGCTAGGAATTGACACCATGCCTTATGATCTAAAGTGCACACATGAGACCATTTGGTGACCCCATTCCTTCACATTACCCACCCCCCGCTGGTTCTTCAGGATGTAACCACTTGGTCATTAGGGTGTTCCCATGGGCATGCAGGATTGGTCTTGATTTGAATTTCTCATGTGACACCTTGTTTATAACTATATAACAATAAAGAGAGAGAGAGAGATGGGGTTTAACGTCCACTCGACACAAACTAGGTCATTTCGGGACTAACATATCGTTTAATTTTATTTCAATAATTTGCTTGCGCATAGGGGTCTTTAGCAGTGGGAGGACCCGGAGAAAACCCACGAGGTTGGACAGGCGCCCTATATAACAATAAACATAACTGATTAACTTGTGGAGAATACCTGTAGCCTGTCTTACTTCTTGGGGGTCACGGTGGCTTAGTAGGTAAGATTCTGGCTCGTTAGTCTGGAGGTCGGGTGTTCGATCCCTGCATTGGCCGAGAAAGTTCATCCAGATTTTCCGGCGTGGTTCCTCCTTGTCAATGATGCAGGACGGAGGGCCTGACAAGGACAGCTGTCTAGTCATTCGGATGAGACGAAAAACCGAGGTCCCGTGTAGACATTGTTGTGCACGCAAAAGATCCCTTGACAGTTGGAATTTGATATAAGAGTAGCCCGTATTGCCGCTGTCCAGGCAAAATTTCCCTCATAGCACACTGTATGGCGTATGCCCGTCTTTATTAGCTCAGTTTGGAGCAAAAGAGTAGGACGTTAAACCCCATTTTATTTCATTTCATGTCTTACTTCTTAGATTTTATGAGGACTTTTTGTTTTCTGTACTGCTTATAGAGGCATGTTTGAAAGTGAAGTGATGACATAAGGAATTACCATGTCAGTTTCAAATTGACTTTGTAGTGAGCGGACCTGAAAGAGGCATTATCATTCTCACCAGGATAATAGATGTAATTAATTTTTAATTTAGTTATTCTTTGATATTGTCCGAAAAATGTAAATGACGATCTGTGGCTTTACCTAGACTCTATATGTGGCTTTAATAAGATCATAGACTCTATCTGTGGCTTAAATAAGATCATAGACTCTATCTGTGGCTTTAATAAGATCATAGACTCATGTAATTCACTTTTTTCTTCAAAATTTAAGACAGAGAAAAGATGAGGAAGAAAGGGAAAGAGAAAGAAAAAAATTGGAAAAGATCAAAATGAGAGAAGAGAGACAAAAAGAGAGGGAAAAAATGAGACGAATGAAAAAAATAGAAAAGAAAAAAAGAGAAGAAGAAGAGAGAATGCAACTGAAAATAGCTTTAGAAGAAAGGAAATATCTTTTAGCAGAAAGGAAATTAAATTCTATACATCTATTATCATATTTATTTGATAGAGTCAAGGTAAAGTATAATTGATTGCTGTTTATATATTGGATGGGGTTTATTTTCAAATTTATAGAATAATAAGTGCAGGAGTACCACACCACACACAAACAATTACACATGACAAACCTATGGACAGGAAACAATATACTGACACCACAAACAACAAATGCACAAATAATGATTTTTAAAAGCAATGTCAATCATTCGATTACAAATCTAACAATATCTATTCCAAATACACTGTTACAACATGCCGCCTAATTATTATCATCTCAACTGTTAATTCTCAAAACAAAAAATGTTTCTCAGATTGTTCCAGTATCACTTGTCTTACTTTATGTGAGGGTGCTTTTGAAGACCCAAAATAATGTTATTTGCTCTTTCGACTCACAACATTACGTGTGTGGCACCATTTTCACCAAAATATTATTGCTATTGGTCAGTGCTGGTATCTGTATAACTGCTTTCTGGATAAAATCCACATACCTCACATTGCGCATAGAATCATAGACATAAAACAAATACCCGTGTTTTTCCAAATTATCTTATCAGGGTTTGGGATACACTTTTTTTGAAAGCCAGTGAAGTTAACTAAATTAAATTCAGCAATATTTCAATAGTGTGTCTTGTTATTGTATTGCGGGGGTAAGGTGTCTTCTATTGTGTGTTTTTGGTTCTTAACCAGATTGTCTAATGTTGTTTATACTGTATAATATATGTAAAAGTAATCCTGTGTACTTTAATAACAAAAGTAAAAAAAAAACAACATGCGAATCTAATAATGTATATTTAATATGTTTTGCAGCAGTACTCAACACTATAAAAGTCTGAAGAGATCAATCTTCTATTGTTTTTTTTCTATATTTTATTGAGCTGATGGAATTTGATAATTAATCTAAAATAAAATGGTATCGGAAACTTTGTGTCAAGAAAACTGTATTGGTCTGGGTTCTGATAATGTGTCTTTTCATCTCAGACTAAGGGATTAATGCTAATTTCAAAGTCTGTTTTTCTAATAAATAGTTGTTATTTCTAAGCTTTTTTTCTTGTTCAGGATGTCAAATGTAAAGAGGATCTCAAAAGACACGAACAAGAAGTTGAGGAAGAACGAATAAAACAAATAAAGGAAGAAGAAGAAAGAAAATTAAATGAAGAAAAAAGAAAAGCTGAGGCTAAAAAACGAAAAGCTATAGAGTTAGAACAACAGGAGAAAGAACTTCGTCAAAAAATATTAAAAAAAATTAGTCTGAAAGAGGAAAGGAAGCAAGAAGAAATGAGAGAAGAGTTACGTAAAAAAGTAGCTGGTACAAAACGGTTAAAGAGTGCAGTCATCATGAAGAGATGACTAGATGACATTATTAGTGATAGACAATCTGAGTTTAATTCCTAGATTACCAACAGATTTTATTAATAAATTAGACTCTCCTTGCACCATAATTTTTATGGTAAGCTGGAGTGTAAAGGCCAGTGTTTTTATGGTAAGTCTAGAGTAAGTCCTGTGTTTTCATGGCAAGTTGAAGTGTAAGGCCTGTGTTTTTATGGCAAGTTGAAGTGTAAGGCCTGTGTTTTTATGGCAAGTTGGAGTGTAAGGCCAGTGTTTTTATGATTTTTAAAAGCGTTATTGGCTGTTTTGTGGGGCTGAACGCCTGCTTCCACCGAGGATGATATCACAGCGTTATAGTGAAGCCTTGTGCTTTATAAGTGATTTGATACAATCCATGGCTAAAGGCTGCAAATGAAAACATTGCAAAATTATATTCTTAAAAAACAGGAAGAAGCTTCAGCTGTCCTACATGTGTGTCTTGTCTGCGATATCACTTTTGTGGAAGCAGCCGTACTACTACTACTCCAGCATATGAAGTCAATGAACACCAATCAATGGTGGTATAGTTAAGCCCTAGTGTGGTTTTATAAAAGATGTAAAATTGTTTTTATTTATATAATAATTTTATAATGGTTACAGTGCTGTACATATGGTATTATGTACTGATTGATTACAGCAAGAGTCATAGTGTACATTTGTCTTTTCTTTTCCTAAAATATTGACCCCATCCTTGAAATTGAAACATACATGTATTTACCTTAAATTTGCTCCTGATGACATTGATCTTTAAAATAATGTAGTACTTACAGTGATGTAAAACATTATTGTTGTAAATGCAGTAGTGTATAGCATTACATTTTCATCGCTGGGATTGTATAACATAATATTTCATTGTAGTTGTGTTATGTTGTAATTGCAGTGATCTATTATACAATTCATATGATATGTCACTGCAAGTGGTGATTACATGTAGTAATTGCAGTAATGTCTAGTGATTATGTAATGGTAAATATTGAATGTGTGATAATTATACTGCGTGAATGGTGATGTGATGTATCAGTCATATATTTATATTTATATTATTTTTATACGCCCACATTTTCATGTGGACATATATTGTCGTCGCCCCTGTCCGTCCATCCGTCCACAATTGTTTGTGGACACTCTACAGGTCACAATTCTTATCCGATTTTGACGAAACTTGAAATGTAGGTTTATCTCCAAAAGATCTCGGCTGCTTTCTATATTGGCATGTATCGGATCAAAACTTCATGGATTATGTTTGTACGAAAAATCACGTTTTTAGCTTGTGGACCCTATAGAGGTCACAATTTTTATCCGATTTTGTTGAAACTTGAAATGTAAGTTTATAAACCAAAGATCTTGGTTCCTTTTGATATTCGCACATATCGGACCATAACTTCCTGAATTATGGCCCATGATTGTACGAAAAATCACGTTTTTAGCTTGTGGACCCTATAGAAGTCATAATTTTTATCCGATTTAAAAAATCGTATTATTATATCACCGTTACACCCTAAGGTCGACAGAGTTCAAATTTCGTGAAAATCGGCCCAAAATTGACAGACAAAATGGTCGCCATTCGTTCGTTCTCAACTAGCGTAAAAATATGGTATATCAAGGTTGTGGACCCTATAGAGGTCACAATTTTTATCCGATTTTGTTGAAACATAAAATGTAAGTTTATAACCCAAAGATCTGATTGTACGATAAATCGTGGTTTTAGCTTGTGGACCCTATAGAGGTAATAATTTTTATCCGATTTAAAAAAAAAGGGATTATTATATCACCGTTACCTCCTAAGGACGACTGAATTCGTATTTCGTGAAAATCGGCCCAAAATTGACAGACAAAATGGCCGCCGTTCGTTCTCAAATAGCATAAAAATATGGTATATCAAGGTTGTGGACCCTATAGAGGTCACAATTTTTATCCGATTTTGTTGAAACTTGAAATGTAAGTTTATAACACAAAGATTTCAGTTCCTTTCGATATTCGCGCATATCGAATTGTAATTTCCTGAATTATGGCCCTTGATTGTAGGAAAAATCACTTTCTTGTTAGCGTGTTCTCTATTCATCTCTCGAAAATGTGGGCGTATCCTGCCTGGCAGCCGCTGGTTATACAAAGATATGGGGTTGGATGGCCGAATGGTTAGCGTGTGCACGTTGTATCATAAGGTCTGTCATTGAGTCAACTGGCGTGGTTTGGATTCCCCGGTTGTATGTGACAAGGAGTAGGGTTGCCTGTCCAATCTCGTGGGTTTTCTCCGTGTCCACCAGTTTCCTCCCACTGCTAAAGACCCCTACGTGCAAGCGAATTATTGAAATGACCTAGTTTGTGTCGAGTATACAAAGATAGGCTCTCTTAAATTTCTGATCAGTTTATATTCAGCACTGACTAACCTGATGAATTGTTAGGCTTACATTTGGATTTATAGTGATGGATTTTATTTTTTTTTAATGTTTCATAGTTCACATTGGTCTACCATAAAGCTCTTTGTTGATAAGTTAATGTATAATTTCAAGGGCTTTTATATTCTAATGAGTGAACATTTTCTATTTCATACTTGACATGGTAAAAATGATAGCTTATAAATTAAGGTGATGACTGTTGAATGGTAAGATGTGAACAGCATGTAAAACATCCTCGGTATCCTCAGTGGTTTCATTCCGTTCAACTCCACTAACCCCTGGGTTCATCCATGGGGAGACATATATTCAAATTATCTGCCCTTGATGTTTGTGCTATTTTTTATTTTGACCTATCAAAATAATTGTTAAATACATGAGAACTGATGTAAAAAAATCGTTCCCATTGAAAAGAGGATTTAGGACATTTTCGTGTGTGCATGTCACTTCTTTTATATTAAAGGGCAAATCTTGATTATATTTTAAAGAACTGCTTAATTTTGTGTTAAAAGCCCTTAAAATCCTCTAACTTAGAGCTGAGCAACTAACTCAATGGGGGAGTTGGATGGCCGAATGGTTAGCATATGCACGCTGTATCATAAAGCCTGTCATTGAGTCAACTGGTGTGGTTTCGAATCCCCGGTTGTACGTGACAAGGAGTAGGGTCGCCTGTCCAACCTCATGGGTTTTCTCCGGGTCCTCCAGTTTCCTCCCACTGTTAAAGACCCCTACGCGCAAGTGAATTATTGAAATAAAATTAAAACCATATCTTAGTCTCGAAATGACCTAGTTTGTGTCGAGTGGACGTTAAACCCCATTTCTCTCTCTCTCACTAACTCAATGTATGTGATATGTTTTCAAACAACTTAAACCCATCAGTCTTCATCTGGAAATGGAGACCGCTGTATTATACTGTGTTTGGATAAAACCAGACTTCTATTTTTAAAAAATAACATGTAGGTGAAATTTACCTTTCGTTATGAAGTACATCATGTGGGTCTTGCACTGTATAGACCTTGAAAGGAACGGCAATAGATTATCAGGTCACCCAACGAAAAAATTGACCCGAAATCATAAAAGGGTTACGTGTCGAAATAAGCGGTTTTGACGTTCACGTCCAAACGACTCAATATTTTGAGACAAGGTAAATACACCATTCCTCTATATTAAATTTCATACGTGCACACACTTTTATTTTTAAGATTCTGTTAAGATTGGCATGATCCCTTTAAATTTCTTGCCAACTTTCTCATAATCCAGAGAACAAGCCGCCAAAATATTTTTGATTGGTTCGTAGAATAATGCTACGATCAAGGGCAGATAATTTGAATATGTGAATTCCCCCATGGATGAACCCAGGGTATAGTGGTGTAGATTGGGATGAGACCACTGGGATGAAGTAAATTAAATAGTTTGCTGCTTAGATGAACATAACATTTTAAGAATGCAGCCGTTTTGGGGGGTTTTTTTGGCTGAGAGGTGAGGTCAGTGCTGGAATTTATGATTTAGCAAATGAGCGGAACACATTCTTAAATGCTAAGGTACATCAATAGTTTGATAGCTGTGAGAACTCCTGAAACAAAAAATGTTTGCTGTGCCAAGATTTCCTGACGATAATTGGAGTTATTGCCCTTAGAACATAAAATTCTTCCAACAAGTGCCAATTCAGTTAAATATTTCAAGTGGGCACACGGCCACGTTTTTGCGGTGGGGGGAATTGTTATATGTCCAGGCCCAGATTAAGGGCGTGGGGCTGAGTGGACTGCAGCCAGGGTCCCCAAATTATGCTATACATGTATATGGTTGTGGCAAATAAATCTATCATACTGACATACAGTTTGTGTGAGTGTGGCGGACAATGACTAGAATATGCCCCCTTTTTTATAATGTTGAACCAAGGGCCCCACTGATAATTTTAAGCCAGGGGTCCCATGCAAGCTTTATCCAGGCCTGGACATGTTTTCACAATAATAGGAATAACTTGGGATTAAAATTGTTTTCAATATTATCATTAGGCCTATATATTGTCTTTCACTATCAGTTTATTTGTCAATTTTGTTTCCCAGATAATTCTAAACTGTCAGAATAGTGAGGATGGGTCTGAGTAAGACTCAAACAGGGCTCGGGACTTCGGCAGATCACAAAGGTACTTAACATTTATTTATTATTTAAGACAAAAAAAGAGCCCCTTCGCTCTGTTGGTTAGCACATATGAACATAATAAGTCCAAAGAAGTCTTTACATCACTACTCTTGGCAAGGCTTTGGTAAGCACGCCCCTTCGCCCTTTCAAAAATCCCGAATTTGCCCCCGAGTGTCCAAGAGATCTAGCATTTTGTGTTTGGTTATTGTCACATAATAATATATTACTAAGTGTAGGTCACACTGCATCATATTAAGTTGTATTCATTATCACCGTCGTTCCCATTGTTATCATAATATTAAAAAAATGTTTATAAAGAAATGTTGTTATTTTATATTTTAAATTTGTACACCACTCGAATAACTTAAACTTGGTTGAAATCCATCAAACTGTTAATAAGTTGATGTCCAATAGATGTGTAAATTTGTCATTATACACACCATTTTCCCATTCCTGTTGGGTTGAGCAACTTTATTTGAAGAAATCCGAATGAACACCACGCACGCCACCTACATACCGAACGCTGTTGAAATCCATCAAGCAGTTAAAGTGGAAAAGAGTAAAATGTCTAAATTTGCTCAACAGTGTTTACTTCTTGACTGATTTCCTCAAATTTGCCACAGTCGTTATAAGTAGTTGGGAAAAGATGGTCGCTGTCGTTTTTGTACACTTTCCGAATATAATGCCGGAGTTAATGTCCTGACTGATACGACTATTGACAAACGTATATCTCGATACTGTTACTTAATTTCAGAGGATTAGTTAGTACTGGTCTGAAGGTGGTTCCTATTGATACTGAAAGACGTGGGGTTTAACATCGTACTTTTTCTCCACTGATTTTGAAAGAATTGCCTATTGTGCTCACTCTGTTCAGTTCTTGGCCAATTTTCACACAAAGTTGGATCGTGGTGATTGTTTACTCTACAGGCCCCTAATCCCCAAAACGATAGGAACACAAAACGTGGATGGCCATAGACAGCAGCATATTAATATCTAAAGAAAAACTTGAATGATGACCAAGAATCCTTTATGTCTTCAAGGAATCTGATCTCTATCGTGTTCACAAGCTTTTTCGGACGCGTAACATATCTCTGGAACAAAGTCCTAGAATGCTGACAATTAACGGATCCAAACTATGGAGTTTTAGAACAAAGTGTATTAATCTGCAACTTTAGTGGCTGATTGTGAAACTTTAAGAATTCGAATTTACAAGGATTGTTCAGAATTTAGTTCCCGATCTCATATCGTGGAATCATTATCCTGTTTACGTGTGAATACGACAGGACACTGTTCTTAACACAAAGTACATTTTAATTGTTCATTAGTGTATTATGGGGAACCCTATACCAAGTTATCTTTAGGGCACGTAGATATTTTAAGCTTGTGAACGCGATTCATGACAATGTTCTTAAAACATTGATGAGACTAAAGATGCGCCCTATTGAAATTCTGAAATTTCGATCACCAATTCCGGCGTTATTGGTCAGAATATGTTCTCAATAGAATATTTTAAAAGTTTGTGAAATTGTTCTCTCGGGCATAAGGAGGAAGTCACGTCCCTTTTGAATTTCAAGGAGTTCTATTTCGGTTCACATTTTTACTTTAAAAGCATGGGACAGACTTCATAGTCGAATGATTTAACACGTTATGCAGGATTTGTCGACAATGGTTTTAAAGCTAGCACAGACGACTTTGCAAATGGAAATCCTGACAAGCCACCGTTTCAAAAATACAATAATCCATCATGGACATTGTATGTTATTTGTCCAATCGTGAGACAAGAAAACAATTGTAAACAAAATCTGTTGTGGTCGGACACAAAAAGATCTTGATGGCGATCAAAGATCACACATTTTCGCAGGTAACAACCCAAAATGGATCAGACAAAAATCAGACAGTGTGCGGTGGACTTAACCAACGATATGGCTTATTTCATCATTATACCTAGATCGCTTGTACTAGATTCCTCCTACAACTAAACAATTCAATGAGTGCAAATTCCCCAAACTCTACATTGTTTATAATGCCGATATTTATATGGCCTATAGTGGAGAAGTGTGAAGGTGTCTAGTGTAAAACAACTTTCATTCATACAAACTAGGATTACATGGGCGGATCCAGGAATTTTTGCAGGAGAGGGTTTCTCAGGCTATTGTTAAGGAAATTTGACAGTTGACAATGCATGATGCAATCATCGTCTCTAAATTACGTAGGCATACATACTGGTTGAGCTTTTTAAAGATAGAAATTAAACTCCCCGTTTGATGGCAATTTTTATAATGAATTAATGTGATTTAATTTCATTAATGCAAAGCATTAATTGTGATATCGCACATGTCTATATCATTATTTCTTGCTTTGAATGCCAATCCCATCCCACCATCTGATGATAAAAGATAAAGCACACGATTCTCGTACAATTTTTTTTATGTAGCTGGGCAGGGTGGGGTTTGGACCCCCACCCCGCTTCCCGCGTATCCGCCACTGGATTACGGATTACTACAGAAAATACAGCAAGTTTACAACCACACGCCTTCAATCATTACTTACATAAACAAAATACAAACTTTATTAATTACTAATTTCACTCACATGGCGATAGTATATACGTGGTTTAATTTCAGTCCCGTACTTGTTATTTCTGGCTACGGGAATCCAAGACACTTAGTGCCAAACCGATTCTACACTGGCAGATTCGGTTCTATATCACCACCTGCAATTTACACTGACAGAAGACTGGAGGCGGCTTAATTAGAATCGTGTGAGATCGCTGACCCAAGGTTACGGCGCAACTTTGGAGGTCGTGTGTTCCTAATCACCAGGATAAATATTTGGCTATACTCAAGTGATTTTCCTTAGTGATCGTATGCGTTTTTCGTACTTTTCCCCAGTGAGCGGTCGACCCCCCTAACGGTTTGTCTAGTTTCCAGTCGCTAATTAGAAGAGTTAACACGTATGTTGTAAGTTAACAGCCAAGATTGCCAGTTACCACCATGCATAGATTATCAATGGCAGTATATCAGAATGATAGTAGTGATAACCCGTCACCGCCTTGACACTCTATGTTCTTGAGGTAAAAGAAATCTTTAAAACTGTTTAACAGATCAAGCAAGTTTAATTATTTTACACATGACACGTCAAAAAATCGCTTCATTGCCATTACTTGCGATTTTCTTAAACTAACATTTTAAATAAAAATCAAACTTTACTGTATATCGTTTATGATCTGCAATTGTAATAACTGGCGTATTAGAAAGGGATGGGGAGCTATAGACGATTTTGCGGGCAAAGACGGGTCATCTTCGGACAGGCCCGTAGCCAAGGGGAGGGGCCTGGGGGGGGGGGCGAAGCCCCCCCTGGAAATAATCTTGCCCCCCTTGACAAAAAAATATCGACCATATTTATAAAATGAAATGAAATGAAATGGAGTTTAACGTCCTACTGTTCTGCTCCTAACCTGGGCTAATGAAGACGGGCATACGCCATACAGTGTGCAATGAGGGAAATTTTGCCCGGACAGCGGCACTGCGGCCTACTCTTATATCGAATTCCAACTGCCAAGGGATCTTTTACGTGCACGCCAATGTGTACACGGGACCTCGGTTTTTCGTCCCATCCGAACGACTAGACAGCTTTCCTTGTCAGCCCCTCCGTCCTGCATCACTGACAAGGGAGAACCACGCCGGAAAATCTGGATGAACTTTCTCGGCCAATGCAGGGATCGAACACCCGACCTCCAGGCTAGCGAGCTAGCGTCTTACCCACTTAGCCACGTGATCCCCCCATATTTATAAATTACCTATGTATGATTTGAATATATTTCTTGAAAAACACTCAGAATAGTTCGTTCTTAGAACATATAATTGTCGATTTCTATGCTTAGAAACTCGTTTACAGCTACTGCCGGGGCTGCTCCCCCTGCGCCAGCAAGCTAGCTACGGGCCTGTCTTTTGACATGAATAACATTTTGGGGCATTATTCTCTTTCGCCCAATAGGTATCCGGCAATTACACAAGAATCCTAATCATATAACGCCCCGTACGCCTATACTTGTACATCTTCAATAGAAGGCTTGATCTCGCTTTAACTACGTACATCTTATCAAGGCCTTCACGCAATACCCTGCATATTTCGGCACTAAATTCGATTGGGTACAAGCTCAGCTTGTGAGCCTATCAGATTCCTCGATCGTCGCGAATACCAAGTCTCGCGCTTTCAAGCTAAAATGTATACCTATGATAATCGAGATGCAAAGTTCAAAGTTCATTCAATGTCAAACTTTCCGTGGAGGTCGCGATGTCACAACCTCTGATTGGACGCTACTGCTCACGTGTCTGTAGATGAAATAGCTATAAGTTAGGGAATTGTCAAGTAAGCAAGCAACGTCTAGATGTTGTAAAACTCGCAGTCGTTGCTTTAGGAATATGATACTTGTATGGTTTTATCGCCAAAGCCGCAATTCCTAACGTTGCCAATTGCTATAATCCACAATGGTTTACGCCAATAAATTATTACGGGCTTTTATCATCTGGAAAAAAACGTTCATACAACATCGTTTATTAAAATAAAAATATTCTTTGAAGCGACATTGGCTCCGTAGGAACATGGCATATGTACGGAGGAATGTCCTAGAGCAAGTTCCATTTGGCGGCGGTTCTATCATACTATGGGGTTGCCTTTCATCGTTTATCAAAATAAAAACATTCCTTGGAGCGCCATTTTTCACCTGGGTCTTTGTCCTAATTGTTTCATGTATTCATGAGAGAAACTAACATACATTATTTATGAATTGCAATTTGTCATACAGTAAATCGGTTTCTCAAGTTCTGTTTAGGAAACTTGCTCTTTGCATATTACTGCCACCGCCTACCTGTATCAATGTTAAATCATCGGAAAAACTCTAACTTCTAACTATATGTCAGAATTAATGTAGCTCGGACAAGTTATTCCACAAATAATATAATAAAATCAAACCACATTAAATATTCACTGCCCACTGTCTGTAGGCGCATTTTAACATTGATTGGAGAGGGCAACGAATTGTCTAACGCATGCTTTAGAACATAAGGTCTGTTATTGAGTGAGGTTGCTGGGTTCGATTCCCAGCTCGTACATGACGAGGAGTAGGGCCGTCAGCCCAACCTCTAATTATTGATATAAAGTGGAACCATATGTTAGTCCCGAAATGACCTACATCTTGTCGAGTGGACGTTACCCCCCCCCCCCTCTCTCACACTAACTTTTAATAATATCAAACCCCTTGACTGCATGTTTCGGACATAATTATTTATCATTAGT